TACACACACACACATACATACATACATACAATCTAGACATACTAGATATTGTGGAGCATTGTCCAACGCTGTTCAGCTACAGTGCCACGCAATCAACCAAGTCACGGATCATGGCCGCAGTCCATTCAGTCGACTCTTACGACAAGAAAATATCGTACCGACATATTCTCATACGGGTACCCAAACTTGTACATGTATAAAAGCGTAAATGTATCACAGGACTGAAAGAATTAGTGACAATGGCGTTGGCAGCTATTGCGGCAAGAAATACAGCTTTGACAACAGGCTAGACAGAGCTTTTAAAGCCATATTTATGACAGGACGCGTCTTGGACATTCTATAGGACGGCACTTCTGATTTGTAAAGGAGAGGAAATTTTCCTTTCATGCCATTTGTATTGATTTCAAAGGTAGCATTTATTGACAGCTCCCCTATTTGTATGGAACACATACTTCAACTCAGGTCAAATGTTTTATACGTATTTTGTTTCCTCTCACACCTTGCGTGGCAGACACTGGGATGAAATATACATGCATGACTTGATACATGAACAAGGGATTTAGATAATCAGCCACGTACTTGTGCTGAAGAGGCAATCCGTTGTTTACGTGACGTTGAATTGATCTGTTCTTACCTGTTACTGTGTATAACTATTTGTTGATAAGGTTCAGAAGAAAAGGTTATAAAATGCATCCAAATGCAAGTATCTTTTAATACATTACTGTACGGACACGAAGAAAACTGTACTAACACTCACTGTACTGTATATACTGAATAACTCATCAATAACAACAACGAGAGTCACAAATGAGGAAACACTTTTCGGAAGAAACACATCACCATATCTGTTGGCTTGATGACGTTGACAATGCATCTGTACAGGCATGTGAACGCCAACATTATGAGGGTCAACATACATATATAAAGGAAACAGCAAGGACATGCTATTTACGTGCGTTTCTCGTTTTGTTTCTTGCCATTCTGCAAATTGTAAATAAGCATACATGAATTTATGGGAGCGACTTAAGTAATGACTACTTGTGTTCAATCCTTTTCAGGGGGAATGAAATATGTTACGTAACTGAGTTACATAATTCTACATGCAGAGACTGCCTGGTGAGTCACCCCATGTTGTCACTCCATGCATCTGTAAACATGAAATGAATGTCAAACTTTCACTGAATACTTTTGTAATCATTCACACCAAGTGGTGTTCTAACGAGGCCCATACCTGTCGACAGGCCCTGGGAATAATATAACGAAACAGTCACAGAGAGTGTTTCACATACCAAAACATTTTTCAAGTTGTAATGAGCATATTTGTCTGACATTTATAAGCATGTAGAATGTGAACGTCGAGGGAGTTATCCCCAAACGTATCTTGCAGTACACATGTATACAAGAACAATACAACACTCACCATGAACAAAATGTTGAATGCGTACATCAAATACTTGATGTTGTCAATCTTTCCTCCAAGACACATGGCTCCTTGCTTTGTAATCCAACCATAAACAAGGTGATCTATTGACCCGGGAACCTCAGGTGTGTTCCGGTCCCGGCGTTGTCGTTCTCCACACACCTACAAGTACTGAACGCGCAGGTATATCACGTCTCATTCAGGTTGCTTTCTATGCATCAACGAGTACTAGCAATAGCTCGAACAAAATATATAACTTGCGTATGCTGTCTCTCTGTATCATGTATATTAAGTGTTGACATTATGTTTTTAAAACTTGTCTGTGTCATGTCAAATCGCAATACCAACAGGATTTGTCAGTTCTTACATATTGTGTACCTTTCAAAATTATAATGTTAATCTACAGGTAAATATTGCGTTAATTACACAGAGACAATGTTTAATTCCACGGGGTGATGTTAACAACATCTCGGGCTAGAGTAGAAATAGGTTAAGACTGTGGAGCTTGGTCCCGATGCAATAGCACTGGTCATGCTTCACTTAATTTTCACGATGCGGCCATTCATAGTATAGACTTTAAATGTAACTGTAGGATACAATAACCTTGTATATAGCGGGTTAACTATATAGCATTGCCGTATTACACGAGGACGCGCACTTAATGTTCAATGCGTTAATGCATTTGTTGTTCAAATGTGCACGCAGCAATATTCCAGCTAAATGGCGGCTCTCTCTCTCTGGCGGAAAAAATACCTATTAAAAAACTTATATGGCGCTATTTCCAGATTAAACTGTTCTGCAGCGCTTGAGACTGACGGAGAGTTAGTTGTATGCTTCACAGAAGTAGTGAGTCTTTAGCTGTGATTTGAATGACTGCAGGACGTGGTTAGATCTCAGATGTTGTGGGAGTTCATTCCCAAAGTTTGGTTCGGCAATTTGGAACAACGGCTGGCGATGTGATTGGGTTTAGTGCAGGTGACTGAACGAGAAACTGGTGAGAGGATCGAAGAGATCGGACAGGTTGATATCTGGTTATCATGCTGGAAAGGTACTGAGAAGCTTGACTGTGGAGACACTTGAAGACAAGCAGGACAATTTGTAATTGATCCGCTGTGGCACTGGCAACCATGGTAAATGTTTGAGAACTGGTGTAATGTGATCATGTCTCGCTGTTCTTGTTGCGGCGCGGGCTGCTGAGTTTTGAACAATTTGTAACTTCCTTATCAGATACGATGGCAAACCTTGCAAGAGTGAGTTACAGTAGTCATTGCGTGACAACACACAGGCATGGGCCAAGAGATGGCGGTCCTTTTGTTCATGTACTTTCGTACCAAGGCAATGTTGCGGATATGAAAATAAGATTACCTACAGACAGGACTTATGTGAGACTCAAGTGTCAGAACACCAAGATTTCGGGTCTGTTGGCTTGGGCTGATCTTATGGTTGCCGATGTGGAAATCTGGCAAAACAATGTCATGTTAGCTTTAGATAATGGGATGTCATCCATTCTTTTATCTCGTCAGTGCATGTTTCCAGCACTATGAAGGCGACAAAAATGGATGATTTCACAGACAGTTTGAATGCCATGTAAAGCTGAGTGTCGTCTGCGTGTAGATGGAACGAGAGTCCATGTGATCATGTGATGTCACCAAGTGCTGAAGTGTAGATGGTGAACAGTATGGGCCCCAACACTGAGCCTTGCGGCACACCATACAGCAAATCTGATGAGTCAGAGGAATGAACATCAGTGACAACACGTTGTCGCCTGCCAGTCATAAATGATTCAAAGCAACCCAGAACTCTCTCAACATTTCCATAATCATAAAAATTGACAAGTGATCGAACGTGTGTGTTGTACGACTTCAACTGTATCATGAGCCTGTATTTGGTAGATAATGTCACTCTAGGGTCTGTTTTGAAATGCCACTCAAATATTTACCATAAAACTTTATGAAAGACTTGAACCAACAACCACTTGTTTCTGGGGTATTATCAGTTACTAGCTCCTAAGATATCACGTGAGACACATCAGAAAAGTGTAATTATGTCCGCATTTTAGGACTTGCTTTTGTTAACATCAATTTGCATACACACACACCAAAAACACACACACGCACATAAACACCTGCAAACACGCACACACACACTTAAACCACAAAAACACACACCACAAACACCTGCAAACATGCACACACACACATGCACCACAAACACGCACACACACACCACAAACACGCACACACACGCTTAAACCACAAACACACACGCACACACCACAAAGACCTGCGAACATGCACACACACATGCACCACAAACACGCACAAGCACACACACCCCAAACACACATCACAAACACGCACACACACGCTTAAACCACAAACACACACGCACATGCCACAAACACCTGCAAACATGCATGCCCACACACACCACAAACATCTTCAAACACGCACACGCACACACACACGCGCGCGAGCGCACGCACCACAAATACGCACACAAACACCTGCAAACACACAGACCATAAACGCCTGCAAACACACACGCACGCACATGCACACGCCACAAACACCTGCAAACACGCACACACTCGTAGACAAACCCTGGCGAGATTCGAAATAGGCGACCTGGTAGTCATTTGATCAGTGGTTTTGCCACAGGTTTTGCCTCGTTCATGAATCATTCACTGGCTGTTCCGCCCACTCGTAATTACACAGGCGCCATTACAGCGTAACCAGAACAACGCTGAACGCAGGGTTAACAACAAACAAACGGAACCCAATTGTTAGACTGCGATCTTGAAAGATCTACAAAAAATGTATGTCTATATCAATTATGTACACCTGAGCGAACAAGTGGGTCAAGTTGTACCTGATGTTGGAAGTATCGGTGAGTGCGTGAATGTTTTGAATAACTTTGCATTCCACAATGCTGTAAATATGAAACGATTGATTGTTGTTGCAAACGACTAAGTTCTAAAATGAAAAACAATGTAAACATCATTACAATAAACACATTTTATTCAACGAAGGCACTGACACAGGGATACGATGAGATATGCAGGTGACCCATATGAAAGTATAAAAGCAGTAGCAGGCATCACTAAGCATACTTTCTATTCTTCCTAAAAACTGTTCAGGTTTGCTTATCTTCCCGATTTCTTATTTCATGTAATTCTTATAAACGAAATACATATACGGGTATATCTCGAAATTAATAACGTTAGTCCATTAAACATATAATTGAATGTTTAGAATTTGCTAAAAAGAAATTGCTAATGCTACGTGACGATTCATGAAAAAAGTATCCCTGTACCTGCATTTTTAAGCCATCTACTCTACTTTCATTTCGATAACAAAACACTGAGAAACAATAATGTTGTATGCTAAGCAGACAAGTAATTAATAGCATCTATAACTAGCAAACAATGAATGCATTCAAAACATGCTGAACATTCTAGAGCATCAGTTAACAAACATGTAATGTAGTTTATTTTAAAAAACAAACGTATTATTTACGGGCGATTATCCTTTCGTTTTTTGTTCTTGTTTTGGGGAGGGGTTTTTGTTTTTGGTTTTTCAGAAACTGTACATTATTATCCAAATGCCACAAGCATGAACACTGATTAAAAGCCTTTACTCCCAGTTCATGTTGAAAGACAGTGCATGTATTTGATTCATGGTTAAAAATTGTTATTGGTATATGTTGCACCAATATTTTTTTATATTTAGGAAGTAAACTGCATTGTTTCGAAGCGATCGACCCCAAGACAACTGCAAATGTACAATGTATCTAATAGACATCGAGATTACCGCTGAAAGCCTCTCCAAATAAGCATCATTCTGCCATTTTGAAAATTACACGCGAACTCTTTGGTACCAACGTTGATATTTGGTTGAGTCAAATATTTGGAGTGGGCTTTCGATTTGAGTCGAGGAAACACCCATGATACCCTGTAAAAACTTATGGCGCTGCCTATGCTCAAAATTTGTTTCTTAACATTTTTCTACTTTACGACTTTAATAGGCATTGGAGGTGTGTAGCACCACTACTTCGTGAGACAACAATAAGCAGGCATTTTTAAAGAAAATGAAGCAAGACACTGAAAGTTTAGTTTTACAACGCACGTCACTATTACGACGTCACAGCGCTCTTTGTGACGTAAACGTCGTGACATCACAGTCTGGTTCAGAAAAGAGCACATCTCTCTTGGTTGTTGCTAAAAGTTGAAATACATTTACAATGGATTTCTATCCTGTTTTAAATGTATTCTCAGTCATACATTGACTATTGCTCAACGCCACTTTTCACGCTTTCTCTGCTCATATAATTAAATACATATGTCTACCATCAGCGACGAGGAAAAAGATAATTTTGTATGAGATTGCAGTCGTTTCAATCAGAGTTCACTATTGAGATTTGATACCTCAGTTTCACCAGTCAAAATCGAGAGGAATTTCCAACCAATTCCTCGATAAAAAGCAAACACTAACGACAACATCTCCTAGGAATCCTCTCCCTGTTGGCGATACAGATCAACTTTACCGACGTTCTTCTTTCATGTACCAAGGCAAATCACTATACCTAGGTAAATAGTAAAAATAGGTTTCGAAATTCATTGAATTGTTTACAAAAAAATATACAGAATCTTTAAGGATTCCTCAACAACTATTGCAAATGTTTTGTACTCTTCCTCGTTCACTCTTGTAGAAATACTGCTTATTGCGCTATTCCTTGTTTTTCTAAAAGAGGGTTAAACTATCTCTAAGTCCAATGCCAGGATTCATAACTTTGCTGCCTATGTCTGGCTCTTGCTGTGTGCCTCTCAGCTACTCTTCCTGATAGCACAGCAGAAGCACATGGACAAAACCATTCCTAGAATCTGTAACATGAAAGGAAAACGAAAAATTGGTGCCATGGAAGTACTTAAATACATACATGCAATATCATTCAAATATGAATAAGAGCGGTGGGGTAGCCTTGTAGTTAAAACGTCCGCTCGTCACGTCTAAGACCCGGGTTCGATTCCCCATATGGGTACAACGTGTGAAACCCATTGCTGATGTCCCCAGCCGTGATATTGCTGTGACATTGCTAAAAACCATACTCACTCATGTATTAATATATTGACATTTACAGCCCATTGTGATATGATTACTTGATTGATATAATTGACATAACTGCTTAACACGAACCACATAATGTCTATAAAGTCAACTTAAAAAAATACAAGTGGATTATTTTCTGAATCAGATTCCACTAAACGACAATGTAGTCGTCAGCATGTGTATGGCAGCTGGTGAACATTAACGACTTGTGAACTGATGAGGTAATTCTCAGGACAAATATACACGGGTATGTATTGGTTCGCTGGTTTTCGGATGTTAAAGGCACTTCGTACACACTAATGCATTATTGAACCAGTGCAGAAATGAGGTTATTGAAGTTACCGTAAAGGTCTCCATCAAGGCCATCTGTTTCAAGCCTATGAACCATATTCTACCTTCCACCCAACACATCACGTCATGCAAATGCCCTTGGTGAACCAAGACTTGATTGTCTTCATTATAACCACAGAAATATGACGGCGGTCTGTTAATAATCGAGTCTGCACCACACAATCCAGTGATCAACAGCATGAAAATCGATCTACGCAATTGGGATACGATGACGGGTCAACCAACTCTGCGAGCCTGACCACTCGATCCCGTTAGTCGCCTCTTACGACAAGCATGGGTTACTGAAGATCAATTCTAAACCGGATCTTCACGGGTCACAGGAAAGTGAAATATATAGGAGTTAAAAATAAATGGCTTAATGTCGAACAACTAAAGTGTTGGCGCAATGAATACACCATGTCCTCGCTCACCATGATGAAAGCAGCACCAAAGGAAATCCCGGCAGTCACCTTGAGGTTAGGCGACAGGGTTTTGAAAAACGCGTCCGCACAAGGCTGTGAATTAGAAATGGTCAGTTCGAAGATATATCCATTTGTTCTGTGAAGAAGCAAATGATTTTGTATACTTTGAACACATTTATGGAAATGTTTTACGTGACAAATAATTGTGCATAGGCCCAGGAGTTTCTATAATCAGAGCCCATTGCTTAACATATGCAATGGGCTATGAATTTCCGTCAATGTTGATGTGCTAAGGTACATTAACATATTGAAGATTTTCAATCGGTAGTGTTTTATAAGTTAAGAACACCATTTAACAACGTGAAGACTTCAAGCATATCGTGGTTTTGCTTTTCTGTTGTCATATCAATGGTTATGAATCATTCCTGAAAATACATACCGTCACATAATTCGCTAGTTTGCACTGACTGTCGAGGTTCACGATGCTCACTACATAATCAGAAACGCCGGTTTTAGCTCCACAGCAATTAAACTGAAACATGAGGTATCATCATCATCATCATCATCATCATCATCATCATCATCATCATCATCATCATCATCATCATCTTCTTCTTCTTCTTCTTCACCATTATCATCACCTGTGCTATGTTATTACCGTTACCATGCATATACCTCTTTATCATCAAAATCATCATCATCATCATCATCATCATCATCAACAACAACTGTGTCATTATTATCATCATTTTATCTTTATCACCATTATGATAGGTATTTCATCATTATTATTGATGTTGTCTCCTTGGCAATGAACATACGTTCTTATACACATACTAAGCTCCTGTCCCCTTCATATAATTGTGAAATCATCTGAGATCAAATGCGTTACCGTATTCTGGAAATTGTTCATGTACGTCCTCGACTCTTCACTATTGTCATTCACCCTGGTCATCAGGTAATCACCGAAAGATTCTTTCACCTACAATCAACAGTAGGAGTATGAAATTAAATATTTCTTTTTGCTGATAACATTGTATCAGTTGCAGACTGTGTTGTTGATCTGCAGGGAAAGTTGAATGCTTTATAATTATTTTGCAATAAATGGGGATTAGTTGTAAATATGGAAAAGTCTAACATCTCGTGTTTCGTAATGGCAAAAAGCTTAAAACGGCCGAGAAGTGGTATTATAGACACAAGACACTATTGACCGTGTGAGACACTAGACTGGGTGCTAACAGTATTGACCTTATGAGACACTAGGCTGGGTGTTGGCAGTATTGACCGTGTGAGACACTAGACTGGGTGTTGGCAGTATATAATTGACCGTGTGAGACACTAGACTGGGTGCTAACAGTATTGACCGTGTGAGACACTAGACTGGGTGTTGGCAGTATTAACTGTGTGAGACACTAGACTGGGTGCTAACAGTATTAACTGTGTGAGACACTAGACTGGGTGTTGACAGTATTAACTGTGTGAGACACTAGACTGGGTGTTGGCAGTAATGACCGTGGGAGACACTAGACTAGGTGCTAAAAGTATTGGCCGTGGGAGACACTAGACTGGGTGCTAACAGTATTCACCGAGGGAGACACTAAACTGGGTGTTGGCAGTATTGACCGTGGGAGACACTAGACTGGGTGCTAACAGTATTGACCGTGGGACACACTAGACTGGGTGCTAACAGTATTGACCGAGGGAGACACTAGACTGGGTGCTAACAGTATTGACCGAGGGAGACACTAGACTGGGTGCTAACAGTATTGACCGAGGGAGACACTAGACTGGGTGCTAACAGTATTGACCGAGGGAGACACTAGACTGGGTGTTGGCAGTATTGACCGTGGGAGACACTAGACTTGGTGCTAACGGTATTAACTGTGTGAGACACTAGACTGGGTGCTAACAGTATTGACCGAGGAGACACTAGACCGGGTGTTGACAGTATTAACTAGACTGGGTGTGAGACACTAGACTGGGTGTTGACAGTATTAACTGTGTGAGACACTAGACTGGGTGTTGACAGTATTAACTGTGTGAGACACTAGACTGGGTGTTGACAGTATTAACTGTGTGAGACACTAGACTGGGTGTTGACAGTATTGACTGTGTGAGACACTAGACTGGGTGTTGGCAGTATTGACCGTGGAGACACTAGACTGGGTGCTAACAGTATTCACCGTGGAGACACTAGACTGGGTGCTAACAGTATTGACCGAGGAGACACTAGACTGGGTGTTGACAGTATTGACCGTAGGAGACACTAGACTGGGTGTTGACAGTAACAGTATTGACCGAGTATTGAGACACTAGACTGGGTGCTAACAGTATTGACCGAGGGAGACACTAGACTGGGTGCTAACAGTATTGACCGAGGGAGACACTAGACTGGGTGTTGGCAGTATTGACCGTGGGAGACACTAGACTTGGTGCTAACGGTATTAACTGTGGGAGACACTAGACTGGGTGCTAACAGTATTGACCGAGGAAGACACTAGACCGGGTGTTGACAGTATTAACTGTGTCAGACACTAGACTGGGTGTTGACAGTATTAACTGTGTGAGACACTAGACTGGGTGTTGACAGTATGAACTGTGTGAGACACTAGACTGGGTGCTGTGTGAGACACTAGACTGGGTGTTGACAGTATTAACTGTGTGAGACACTAGACTGGGTGTTGACAGTATTAACTGTGTGAGACACTAGACTGGGTGTTGACAGTATTAACTGTGTGAGACACTAGACTGGGTGTTAGCAGTAATGACCGTGGGAGACACTAGACTAGGTGCTAAAAGTATTGGCCGTGGGAGACACTAGACTGGGTGCTAACAGTATTCACCGAGGGAGACACTAAACTGGGTGTTGGCAGTATTGACCGTGGGAGACACTAGACTGGGTGCTAACAGTATTGACCGTGGGACACACTAGACTGGGTGCTAACAGTATTGACCGAGGGAGACACTAGACTGGGTGCTAACAGTATTGACCGAGGGAGACACTAGACTGGGTGCTAACAGTATTGACCGAGGGAGACACTAGACTGGGTGCTAACAGTATTGACCGAGGGAGACACTAGACTGGGTGTTGGCAGTATTGACCGTGGGAGACACTAGACTTGGTGCTAACGGTATTAACTGTGTGAGACACTAGACTGGGTGCTAACAGTATTGACCGAGGAAGACACTAGACCGGGTGTTGACAGTATTAACTGTGTCAGACACTAGACTGGGTGTTGACAGTATTAACTGTGTGAGACACTAGACTGGGTGCTGTGTGAGACACTAGACTGGGTGTTGACAGTATTAACTGTGTGAGACACTAGACTGGGTGTTGACAGTATTAACTGTGTGAGATGCTAGACTGGGTGCTAACAGTATTAACTGTGTGAGACACTAGACTGGGTGTTAGCAGTATTAACTGTGTGAGACACTAGACTGGGTGTTGGCAGTATTGACCGTGTGAGACACTAGACTGGGTGCTAACAGTATTGACCTTATGAGACACTAGACTGGGTGCTAACAGTATTAACCGTATGAGACACTAGACTGGGTGTTGACAGTACTGACTGTGTGAGACAATAGTCTGAGTGTTCACAGTATTAACTGTGTCAGACACTATACTGGATGTTGACAGTATTGAGAGGGTGAAACACTAGACTGGGTGCTATGTGAGATAATAGACTGGGTGTAGACAGTATTAACCGTGTGAGACACTAGACTGGGTGTTGACAGAATTAACTGTGTGAGACGCTAGACTGGGTGTTGACAGTATTAACTGTGTGAGTCACTAGACTGGGTGTTGACAGTATTAACTGTGTCAGACACTAGACTGGGTGTTGACAGTATTAACTGTGTGAGTCACTAGACTGGGTGCTGTGTGAGACACTAAAGTGGGTGTTGACAGAATTAACTGTGTGAGACACTAGACTGGGTGTTGACAGTATTAACTGTGTGAGTCACTAGACTGGGTGTTGACAGTATTATCCGTGTGAGACACTAGACTGGGTGTTGACAGTATTAACAGTGTGAGTCACTAGACTGGGTGCTGTGTGAGACATTAAAGTGGGTGTTGACAATATTGACCGTGGGAGACACTAGACTGGGTGTTGACAGTATTGTGAGATTAGATACTGTACATACATATACTTACACATGGACATGTAGTTACTTTCTCACTACCTCTCTCTATCTCTAACTCGCTCTCTTTCTCTCAATCTAACCCGCTCTCTCTATTTCGCCCTCTTTTTCGCTCTCTCTCTCTCTCTCTCTCTCTCTCTCTCTCTCTCTCTCTCTCTCTCTCTCTCTCTCTCTCTCTCTCTCTCTCTCTCTCTCTCTCTCTCTCTCTCTCTCTCTCTCTCAATATATCGATCTATCTTACTCTCTCTCTTTCTTTCTTTAGTGCTAATTCTTACAAGGTTACTCACCACATCCATCTGCGTCAAGACGACCACTCCTATTGCTAACAGAATGGTTGTGATGATAAACAGACCTATGAAGAACTGAAATGATAAAAAGATATCACCCTCATCATCAACATCCAGACATCAGGTTTCCATCGGTCCTGCTTTTAGGCTGAGTTAAAGGCCTTAAACGTGCCTCTTTCACAATCACCTTACAACAAAAGACAGTACATAAACAATCCTCTAAAGAGTTCAATAGCCATGATTGTTTCTTCAGGAAGGGACAGCCAGGTGTTCGAGAAGCACGTGCACAAGTGCCGACAAAGTTATTTGATTCATTAACCTGTGCTGTGCCGTCTCCATCCTTTCTCGCACACCTGGCTGTCCCTTTTCTTTGCACTCCTCCTTCGTAACAAATAGTGAACTGTGTCAAAATTGTAATTACAGTCTGTTGTTTTTTTATTTTTAGGACATAAATTCTGCAAATAAATCACAGCGTTGGTCTGATGTTTTCATTATGATCAGCGTTTCATTGAGCAGTATATGTTTATTATTTTTCAAATTAGGTTGCAATTCATCGTTCCGTTTTTGAGCCGAACGGACTATAGTCGAGGTTTTATAGGTTTCTGTTGAAGCGTTGAAATTACACGAGTGACCTTTTACATTTAGGGCGTGTGTTTGTTTGTTGTTTAACGCCACACTCGGCAATATTCCTGACGGCGATCTGTAAATAAATGAGATTGGACCAGGCAATCCAGTGACTGACATCATGAGCATCGATCTACGCATCCGGATACGATGACATGCCTCAACCATGTCAGAGAGCCTGAATTTCTGTGTGTCATCAGTTACCGAAAACCAATTCTACCCTAGATTCCAAAGGGATGTACCATAGACAGAGATCATATGTTAAAAGCAACATTCAGCATTTGGTTGACGGTTGTCTGTAAATAATTGAGTCAGGACCTGATGATCATGTGATTTTTTAGTGTGAGAAGTCTACTATGTGTACTACGACACACAGTCAGCAAGGTGTCACATTTCAGTGGCTGAGTGGGTCAGATCGCAGACTGTGTGCTGGCGATTAGCTGCCTGAATGGGGCTAAACCCAAAACGTTCAAGAATCTGTATTTCACATAACATGTCTTACATTTGACCACTTTCTAAGTGGCATTGTCGATTCATATCTTTTGGTCATAGGAACCATGCCAATTTACGCTTGTCAGAGGGTACACAAAAGTACGTGATGAAGACAACCATGTTTTATTAAAGCCGTGGTACGGTGGCTGAGTGGTTTGGATCGTTCAGTGTGTGGGTTCGAATCCCAGATAGGCTTCAACCCTAAAAAATATTAGAATCTTTACTTAAAAGTGTAATCTCAAATATAATTTGTGTTAAAAGTGACCGATTTTGACCCGAAATCCTGTAATTCGCCTCACATAGCATAGGTTGGGAACAGGACTTACTACATGATCTAAGCAAGAGGTGATTTACCAACATGTAACTGATTACTGACCACGACCAGGAGGCACTGGCTCCTTCTGATTGTTCCACAGATTCCAATAATGGCCAACAGGATGATGACAGCCCCAACACCGATGAAGACGTAAGCACCAGCATGCAAGGCGTTGAAGTTGTCGGAGTCGTTGATGTATTTGCCAGCATCTTCGTCAAGACGTAGCCATATTCCCAAGCCTGCCAGACCCAGGCCAATCAGCTGCAAGGATACAACGCGAGACTTGTAAAACAAACACTCAATAATACAATCAACTGATACAATATCCATTTATGCAATATCTCAAACTTGTACAAGTAAGATTTGGATTAAAAGTAATGTTAAGTCCATATTATGTAACCAATTTCATCAACGCTGGAACGAATGTATATCAAAATCTTTAAAGGCCGCAATTATAATATGTTTAAGTTATGTCCATACCCTGAAAGTTATTTATTACATTTCCCATTAAATGCACGCATTTGGCTTACCCATGTAACTATAAACTCCCAATAGAAACAGGTAGATGGTATAATGTTATTAAAGGAGAAAGATTATGTACATTGTGTAAAAATACAACAGGAGATGAATTTCACTTCATGTTATATTGCCCATGTTTATGAAATGTAAATAATGCATTCCTACCAAACTGTTATTGTAATTATCCATCATTAGATAAATTTATATACCTGATGTCTTGTACGCATAAAGCACTACTATGAAAATAAGCAACTATGTGAAAACTGGTCTATTTATGTTCCCACAAACAAACCTGTACATTTGTATTTTCTCTATGTCACTATTGTGATCTGCATGAGAATAAACCATTCATTCTGAGAGACCGAGACCTGGCAAGAATAGCTGCAACGTTGAAAGATCCATGCGACTGAAAACTCATGTCAGTTGGCTTACGTGTTGTATAACGCTGTACTTCAGTACTCCGACGGTCTGTAAATGATCGAGTGTGGACCAGACAAACCTATGATTGATAGTATGAACACTCATTCATGTCGTTGGGTTACAATGACCTTCAATTAACAGAGTAACAAAAATTAACCAACCAACATTTACAGTCGCCTCTTAGTATGGCTGTTCAGGGTCTAATCTAACCTGGATTCCCGACGTTACTTATAATTTTATTGAAAACATGCATAACACGATTTTTACACAAAACATTTTCAGTTAACAATAAAAGCGACGAAAGTTTTCTATAAAATGGAATCTCTGTTCATTGCCCATTGCCCGTCCAGATGTTCCAGATGTAAGTATATATCTGTTTATAATCAATACCAATTAGTGAAGACACCGAGTGGTTTGTTTTCGATCATAACGGTATATCCGGCCGAATCAGTGGCTCTGGTGACAAGCACTTGTAAATGCAAGTAAATAGGATCATAACAGTATATCCGGCAGAATCAGTGGCTCTCGTGACAAGCACATGTAAATGCAAGTAAATAGGATCATAACAGTATATCCGGCCGAATCAGTGGCTCTCGTGACAAGCACATGTAAATGCAAGTAAATAGGATCATAACAGTATATCCGGCAGAATCAGTGGCTCTCGTGACAAGCACATGTAAATGCAAGTAAATAGGATCATAACAGCATATCCCGCAGAATCAGTGGCTCTCGTGACAAGCACATGTAAATGCAAGTAAATAGGATCATAACAGTATATCCGGCCGAATCAGTGGCTCTCGTGACAAACACATGTAAATACAAGTAAATAGGATCATAACAGTATATCCGGCCGAATCAGTGGCTCTCGTGACAAGCACATGTAAATGCAAGCAACGAGGATCATAACAGTATATCCGGCCGAATCAGTGGCTCCCGTCACAAGCACATGTAAATGCAAGTAAACAGGATCATAACAGTATAGCCGGCAGAATCAGTGGCTCTCGTGATGCAAGCACATGATCATAAAATGCAAGCAAATAGGATCATAACAATGCAAGTAAAGCAGGATATCCGGCGGCGAATCAGTGGCTCTCGTGACAAGCACATGTAAATGCAAGTAAATAGGATCATAACAGTATATCCGGACGAATCAGTGGCTCTCGTGACAAGTGACATGCAAGTAAACAGGATAAATGCAAGTAAATAGGATCATAACAGTATATCCAAGTAAATAGGAATCAGTGGCTCTCGTGACAAGCACATGTAAATGCAAGTAAATAGGATCATAACAGTATATCCGGACGAATCAGTGGCTCTCGTGACAAGCACATGTGAATGCAAGTAAATAGGATCATAACAGTATATCCGGCACATGTGAATCAGTGGCTCTCGTGACAAGCACATGTAAATGCAAGTAAATAGGATCATAACAGTATATCCGGCCGAATCAGTGGCTCTCGTGACAAGCACATGTAAATGCAAGTAAATAGGATCATAACAGCATATCCCGCAGAATCAGTGGCTCTCGTGACAAGCACATGTAAATGCAAGTAAATAGGATCATAACAGTATATCCCGACGAATCAGTGGCTCTCGTGACAAGCACATGTAAATGCAAGTAAATAGGATCATAACAGTATATCCCGACGAATCAGTGGCCCTCGTGACAAGCACATGTGAATGCAAGTAAATAGGATCATAACAGTATATCCGGCAGAATCAGTGGCTCTCGTGACAAGCACATGTAAATGCAAGTAAATAGGACCATAACAGTATAGCCGGCCGAATCAGTGGCTCTCGTGACAAGCACATGTAAATGCAAGTAAATAGGATCATAACAGTATAGCCGGCCGAATCAGTGGCTCTCGTGACAAGCACATGTGAATGCAAGTAAATAGGATCATAACAGCATAGCCGGCCGAATCAGTGGCTCTCGTGACAAGCACATGTGAATGCAAGTAAATAGGATCATAACAGCATATCCCGCCGAATCAGTGGCTCTCGTGACAAGCACATGTAAATGCAAGTAAATAGGATCATAACAGTATATCCCGACGAATCAGTGGCTCTCGTGACAAGCACATGTAAATGCAAGTAAATAGGATCATAACAGTGTATCCGGCTGAATCAGTGGCTCTCGTGACAAGCACATGTAAATGCAAGTAAATAGGATCATAACAGTATATCCGGCCAAATCAGTGGCTCTCGTGACAAGCACATGTAAATGCAAGTAAATAGGATCATAACAGCATATCCCGCAGAATCAGTGGCTCTCGTGACAAGCACATGTAAATGCAAGTAAATAGGATCATAACAGTATATCCCGCAGAATCAGTGGCTCTCGTGACAAGCACATGTAAATGCAAGTAAATAGGATCATAACAGTATATCCCGACAAAACAGTGGCTCTCGTGACAAGCACATGTGAATGCAAGTAAATAGGATCATATGGTACCAGTCTGAAACCAGCATCAAGTCGGGTTGTGCATCCGACATATATTTGGTAACTGGTACGTCAACTTTTAATATGTCCACCATGTTTGTACCATAAAATTGTCTACCTTCTTTTCATTGCACATTCCATTTTTTGTTTGAACGGAAAATCTATAACATTGTGATCATTGAAAATGTTTTGTCGCTTGGAGATAAAGTTATCTTATCACGCATAGACCAGAAGAGTCACGGCGTCTCGAAGTATATTCTTACTTCTTCATTCACCTCATTCACCTGATGACGGAGTAAGATTATACTTCGAAACGTCGTGACCCTTCACAATAAAGACGTTGTCATCCATAAAACTCTTGTCTTCATGTGTATCACTTCTAAATGCCCTTCAAAGACTTCAAAGACACGGGTAGTCGAATACTGTAAGTGCCAACAGAAACCCATTATCCCGAGTTAGAATTTTACATTCATTTAGGTTCACCTGTGCTCGTAGAGTTTCAATAATAATAAATGAATGAATGTTGCTTTACGCCGCAACAGCAGCCATTGGCGGCGAAGGTTTCAATAAGACAGGTAAACTTCCAAAACATTAGGGGTCATCTCAAAGGCCAAGCTGACACATTCTGTGACTGAGAGTATTGATCGACATTAAGCCAAACCGACTAGCTCCACATTTAAGGATTATTATACTTCATCAAAATAAAAAGGATGATATTCGAGTGACTATCCTGTTGTTACCATGCGCGTCCAGCTCCGATTTCTCGAAACAAACTTAAGTTTTTACTCAAATTTCAAAATGAGTTTGACAATTTGAAACAGCTGAATGTTTAACTCAGCTGCATGTGTAAAATAATAAAGCCCCAACAACTTAAGTATTCTAGTCACCAAACTCAAACTGTCTACTATGTTTGAGTTTAATATCGATTTCAGTACATTCTGGGAAATGCGTTTTCTCAAATTTGAGTAAAAATTCGAGCTTAAGTCAAAACTCAGACTTAACTTTGTTTCGAGAAATCGGGGCCTGACTGATTATATAAAGAAGAGACTGACTGACTGAGTTTAGTTTTACGCCGCTTTTAGCAATATTCCAGCAATATCACGGCGGGGGACACCAGAAATGGGCTTCACACAGTGTGCCCATGTGGGGAATCGAACGAGCCAACGCTTTAACCACTAGGCTACCCCACCGCCCCATAAAGAAGAGAGTATTTATGGATGTCAACGTCTTTATTATGAAGAACACAACGTTTAGGAGTATATCCTTACTCCTTCACCTGGTGAATGAATGGTATGAGACAGAGAACATATTATGTACATGCAGAGTACATTATGTTCCTCATAATAAAGAAGTTGACATCCATTAAAAAATCTCTTCATTATTTGTACCACTTCTACATGCCATTCAAAGACCTGACTATATAAGATCGTCATGAAATATTCATGCTTAATTACTAACGCTATTTAATACAGAGGAAATGATCTGACATTGACCTGACATTGAATAGGGCCCCTTGTGAACAGCAACACTACACAGAATACAACGCCCACCTGTTAACAAGAGGGAGTGCTTTGTCAAATACATTCCGTCCGGGGATTAACCCGCGCCTTGTGGTTGTGTTGATACTCGTCATGCAGTATTGCTGAACATGCACGGGGACGGCGTGGAACATCATCAGTCGAGGCAGATGTCGCGGGGGAGTTGTCCGACAGGACACGCTCACTTGTCTCGGAAACGTGCATTAACAATGCGCTGTATGTGTCACTCTTCGCTATTTGTTTTCGACATACTCATTTGGGTCTGGCGTTTGAATCACCTCGGACCTTGGTGTTACTCATGTATGAGCTGTGCGGAAGAAGCGTATTTAGATGTATATTTATAAATATCGTTGTCGTCGTCGTCATCATCATCATCATCATCATCATCATTATCTGAAGCAGTGGCAGCAGCAGCAGTAGCAGCAGTAGTAGTAGTAGTAGTAGTAGTAGTAGTAGTAGTAGTAGTAGTAGTAGTAGTAGAGGAGGTGGTGGTGGTGGTGGTGGTGGTGGTGCTGATGTTGCTGCTGTTGTTATGTTGTGGTCGCATTAACCTTGAATGGTCTCATTATTTTTAAACGGGACACATGACCACAGGTCATTTTGCAGTCCAACATGTTTATAAGAGTCATTTAACCGCCCTTTGTTTGTATGCATAAACATTTAGCGGTTGGTGTGTCCCATAAATTTCCCAATTAAAAGATTATTTCACAGGTGTGGCTGTTCTTGCCACGCCAAAAGCCCCATTACATTTGTGACGCCGACTTGTGTTGTCCTCTCCCGCTGGACCCCCAACTATATCACTCATAAAGACGTTTCATGACTGTAGGGCAGGAGACGCTCACTTTCTCGTGAACACCTGGTCACATCGTAGTGTCATAACGATGCACAGATACAGGCCTGTACAGTCGGAATTGCACAATCAGTTCTGTGTTTAGAATATACTCCATATATTTAATAACAGTCAGGGTTTTACTCACGTCGGATAACAAGTGTTTACAATAAATTTTATCAAACATTCGGGTGATCAGCTTTTAATAGCCCGTGTTGAAAACACGAAAAAATTCAAATGATGCGTACATCTAAATCCAACGATTCACTCGTGCGTCAGAATTCGTAATGTGGTGCTATTCAGCGAAAGATACCGACAAGAAGGAACATCACACACCCACCAGGAACAGCACACAAGAACATCACAAAACTCACCAGGAACAGCACGTTGAACACGTGCATAAAACACTTGGTCATGTCTCCACACATGGTTATCTGATAGTACTCCAAACAGAAACAACGACAGCAACAGCTTCAGCGTTCTCACAGTATCCCCTTAACGACGCCCTGCCTCTGACACACTTACAGTGACTAGTGTCTACCGCGCATGTACAGGAGGTGTGTTTATTGTGCAGATCACCCGTTCCCACTGCGCATGATCAGTGTTTACATGACTGAACTCACCCGCCAGGCTTTCAATTCACCTGTGGGTACAGTCAGCTTGACCTGACCGGCGTGTGATATGCAGTAACAGTTACAGTACTTTTTTCACTGCTCTACTGCCTCTGTTGACTATTCAAAACCGGTTTAGGCGCACGGCGGGAGAGTCGGTATTTTTATACGACAATATAAGCTGGAACTGCCTCACACATTCACTATATTTAATCGGATTTACCTTTCGTAACCTTGAAGCAAGGTCGGGTTTGAGAAATTATTGAGTTTCTGTTTTTTTAATACTGTTGTTATTTGGTAGTTACCATTAACATCACAACTAATGTTGATGTATCCTTTGTTTGGGTCTTATCATGTCATATCAATATGCATACAGTTAATTTAATTATATTTCTAGTATGAATACGATGTATATCATAACTATTCACCCCATTGTGTATGCTTGTTTTCTACCCGTGTGGTGAAACATAACCAGTGCCATATATGTCATATTATCATATGTGCACATATCACTTTTGCCAAGCGACCATTGGTCCTGTATTTCGTCGTCTCTGACGTCATTAAACAGTTGGACGTGACGTCAATGAAGATGGCCATCACACTTGCTTGCGGTGTTTTACTGCACAAACATACATGAATAAAAAATGATAATGAAGAAATTATTTCAGTCGACCAAGTGTGTAATAGGGCTTATAGGAAACTCGTGCAAATTAGCTAAGTGTTGGCGTTGCTGTGGCTCAGGCAATACAAAATTTCACACTCGTTTCGTATAAGTCGTATGGCACACTTGCTCGTGTAATAAACGTTATATATGTTTCACTGTATTACAAAATATACGTTACAAAATGCATTGTGTGGATTATACTTTTGCAAATATGTATCACTCTTTGATTCGTTAAATTAGAAATGGAACAGTTATATTGAAAAATCAGAAACGTTGAATGAAGTATGACAAAATACATGTGTTTATTGTGTCATCTGGCCGTCACAAAGTGTATATAAGTTTTGCATTTTACTTTTAATGTCATGAATTTCAGATCTTTTTCCTGAATAAATGTAGACATAGCCACTTAAATATCACTCTGGGGATCAATATCATTTGTATCTAACAGCACTACAGTCAACAACACCTGCAGTTCTTTGTAACCAAAACCTAAACATTCATATGGACTTTGTTCAAAGAAAGCAGAAGAAAACGGTCAGCAAAAACTGTTTTAGATAAGTACGTTTAAATCTTTTTATTGTACCCTGACAAAATTAACCTTACCTAGCACCGCTCAAGAGAAGCAGAGCTTTAGATAACCGTTACAGCAAAAGCTGGCAGAAAGTTAAGATAACATTAAATGTTTAATGCAGTTACAATGTATCATTTTACCATGAATAAAGGTCGTTACTTTAAAACCATGGAGGACTGGGGGCGTTATTTGTATGAGTGTGAGTGAGTGTGTCTTGATGCGTGTCTTGATGCGTGTTTTGTGTGTGTTTTGTGTGTGGTTTTGTGTGTGTGTGTCTGCATTGACAGAGAAAGGGATCAGGAAAGGTTGCAGGGTCTCCTTGCATCACATCAGCTTGAACTCTGTTTTCAGTTGTATCAACGTGTCAGTTTTATAGACACATGAATGGAATAACCAATTATACTAAACAATTTGAAAATATTTCTTTTCATGAAAAGAAATTACAGTGTATACTGAAGTTTTGAAGCTCTCTGCACTTTCATGAACAGAGTATAAAACAGAATTTAAGCTGTGGGCCTACATGACACAAAACTATATTGAAAATCGGAAACTCACACACCTTACATGAGAAGCCTATCAATAACAGCATGCGTTTACGTCAAGTATCGCAATTCGTTTACGTGTTATCTTCATCGATTCCGGGAAGCATGACATTTCCGATGTGATTTAATGAGATTACACAGTAGCTAGATATAATTGTTCACGGCAATACCCCAGCTTGGTGATATTTGACTTTAGATCGGAATGTAATTATAGTATTTTTTGCAACTAATAGTGAGTGAGTGTGAGTAATGCAGTGAGTGAGTGTGGTCTAACTGAACTCAAATGAGCGAACGCATAACCCTTTGGTTACCACATTTTCTTAGCTAGGATTTAGGGGAAAGTAAACAGGGCTAATACGTTACATGTATAGTGTTGTACACATAATCATTAATAGCTGTATTTTTTATAACATTACATAAACAAATGAATAATAGTTGAAATTAATATAAATGCCCACATTAATTATGATAACAATAGTTTCAGTAAATTACACGCCGAGTGAAGTCAAGTTACGGTCCTAAGTCAAATAACTTTGAAAGTAAGTTTGTGAATGACAAACGCAAATACGCCATGGCCTCATGATGTCCTTCTGTGACATCTGATATACTGATTGACTGCGTTTAGTTTTACGCTGCACTCACCAATATTACAGCTATATCGCAGCGGTCTGTATCTAATCGAGTCTGGACCAGTGAATCCAGTGGTCAAGAACATGAGCATCGATCTACGCAATTGGGATACGATGACACGTGTCAACCAAGTCAGCGAGCCTGACCACCCGATCCCGTTAGTCGCCTCTTACGACAAGCATAGTCGCCTTTTGTGGCAAGCATGGGTTACTGAAGATCATCTAACCCGGATCGTCACGGGTCGACATCTGATATAACCGTACACCGTTGTCATACGAAGCCAAGGTCAATGTTATCACCGGTACAACTTGTACTATGTATACCATCTGCCCGCCTGTCCTCCACTCACTGACGTCAGCGTTAGAGTTAGATTACACAGTGACCTTCAAAAGTGTATTCGGCATACCACGCGACCTACAATATACCTCGGATGTAATAGCGTAGTGACGTGCATGATGGCGTTGTAAACCGCTAAACGACACACCCCGCCGGATATATTTTGCATAAAAAGACCACCGTTTATGTTATTATGTGCTTCACAGAAAATAGGAAGTGCTTTTATTTCAAGAAATATAAGATTGGAACAATAAAAGCCATCAAAGATGTAACTTGTGTTGTATCACGTGCTAGTCATGTGGACGAAACTAGTTGCAATATGGCTTCCTGACAGTTCAGTCCGAAGTCCTTTTGGGCTGGGACGAGACAAGCTTAGTGGTGTGAATGTGAATCTACCATCAAATTTGTAGATATCAGATTTCTACCATTCTTTTTCTTGAATGATACTTGCTCAATTGTCATATCGATTTAATCCTAAGATATGTGATCTCTTATGGACTCCGAAACTGACTAAGTCCCTAGTCTCCCTTTACGTGGTTAGAGCGAGGCGTAGACATTGGGTAGCATAGGCGGATCCAGAGAGGGGATTGCGCACCCTCCCTTTTGTCCAGAAAGTTTGTTATATGACCATTGAAACTCGGGTGGAAATGAAATGTGCAATCCCCCTTTTCTCAATAGTAGTGAGCACCCCAACCCCTTTCTCAAAAGCTGTATCCGCCCCTGGGTAGTATCTTACCAGAGTGGGAGTGGACTTGCTATTAACCCCTGATTAGTATTTTCCATCTCTACAGTCGGTCAACGTACACAAAACATATTACACGGTTCTAAGCATTGTTTAACAACCCTAATGTGTCACACCAGTAGGTGAAGAGGTGTACGACCGGTTTTAACATCACATTGAATATTATTGAACTTATGTCTGCATGTACTGTTTTCAGGGTTAATGCGTGTTCTAGCCAGATGGGAACATGCATCTGTTTCACATGGATACACACTCAGACACTTAATACTGACCACTAGCCGATCAGTCCTTCTCTATCTCCTTAATGCCGAACTTTAGGCAAGGTAACAACAAATACCACTTTTACGTGGTTTGGTACGGCGTGGGATCCAAACCCCGACCTTCCGCTCTCCAGTCAGGTGCTCTATCCACTGGACCACTGAGGTGGTCGTCAGTATTAGAATTTACAGTAAGTGAGAATGACATTGTACCTCATAAGTACAATTCCATTACTATCGCAGGGTAGGACATATGATATTGGCTTTTAGCATTGTACACGTGTGGGGAATCAAAGTTCGGCGTGACGAGCGGACGGTTTCACTACTAGCCTACTTCACTATCCCGGCTATAAATAGACTACAATATTCCATCTGTATCTATGTATCTATATCCGACACTGTACTATCCTGACCGATGATATCACTCTCGATGTAGCAGAGGGTGAAAATTCCTTGTTACGTTTATTTCTACACCTGTGGTAGTGAGTGAGTGAGTGAATATTACTTAACGCTGTAGCCTGTAGTAGGTGTTAGAGAGCCCTTAGGACGATCTGTAGCAGGTGTTAGAGAACCCCTGTACGATTTGTAATAGATTTAAGAGAGCTCTTAGTGCGGCCTGTAGTCGGTATTAGAGAGCTCTTTACACCGTGTGTTGTAGGTGTTAGAGAGCCCGTAGTAAGGTCTGCAATACGTGTTAGAGAGCTCTTAGTACGGCATGTAGTAGGTAGTTAGAGAGCTCTTTGTATGGTATGTAGTAAATGTTAGAGAGTCCTTAGTACGGGCGTAGTAGGTATCGTGTTAATGAGCCCTTTGTGCGGCCGGTATTAGTATTACAGAGTCGTTAGTACCGTATGCAGTATGTGGGCTATCGGAATGACAGCGATGATGTAGTATAGAGGTCGTCTCGCACCAGAAGAGGAATTGATCTGTACATGTATATACTTGCGCCCGACGTTTCCTTGTGAACTAAGGCTGTAAACAATCGAGTTTTGTCCAGACAGTTAATGCCAGCGATTGATCCCAATAATCCACACCAGTCGCAAAAAGTTTCGTCATCAGGATACAAAATCAAGCAGTGGACGCGGGCTGACCACCCGCTCTATTTTGTTGTCTATTACTATTAGCATGGATTAATAGGACCAGCCCAAACAACGGACCGTGAAATCTAATCTCTTGTACTGGGTCTGT